ACACACACACACACACACACACACACACACACACACACACACATATTCATGGGGTCCCTACACCTATAATCCTGTAAGCCACACACACACACACACACACACACACATTCATGGGTCCCTTCACACCTATAATCCTGTGAGCACACACACACACACACACACACACACACACACACACACACACACACACACACATATTCATGAGGGTCCAACTACACCTATAATCCTATGAAGCCACACACACACACACACACACACATTCATGGGTCACTCACACCTATAATCTGTGAAGCCCACACACACACACACACACACACACACACATATTCATGGGGTCAACTACACCTATAATCCCTGAAGCCACACACACACACACACACACACATATTCATGGGGTCCTTCACCTATAATCTGCAAGCCACACACACACACAAACTAAATTGGAAACCACACATGGTGAAGTTATCCATCCCTCAGTTTCCGTCTCCACCTCCTCCGCCGACTCCAGTCCCTCGGAGTTCCTGCACACAGCTCCTCAGTGTTTTACACCTAACATTCTACTTCCCAAGCTCACCTATGCCTCCCCACCTGGTCTTCCTCCTAAATGCCCACAACATAAACACCTAGAAAAGTGCAAGGGGCATGCAAGATTATTCTCTCCTTTCCTACTCCACATATCAGAAGCGCTCAACATACTGACCCTTTCGACTCTCACTGACCATCACCACGACCTCATCTGCAAATTTGGTAGAAGCTTCTACACCATCCCCGACACCGGCTCCTACTACACCTGAGATCCCTAGTCCCGAGAATTGCTGTTCGACACCACAACTGCATCCAGCCCATACGTGCACAGACTGTCGCTATAAGAACAGCCCAGTCCCAACCATTGTAAAATTATCAATAACTTGTAATAAATCAGTGTATTCACTCCCAGTAAACACTACTCCTTGCACTGTCACTATGTTGAAATGAACTGTAGTTTGAGCTTTTCCCCATCTAGTTATTATATATTTGTGTCACTTATGTTGCGTATATTATTTGTAATTCGTAACCCATGCCCCAAATATGTAACTGTATATTTTCAGCCTTCTGGCTGCCAAGCTCTTCAATAAACCGTTAATTATTATTATTATTATTATTATTATTCATGGGTCCTTACACCTATAATCTTGTAACCACACACACACACACACACACACACACACACATCGCCACCACCGAAGGGGTCCAAGACGTACCTGTGCTCCTCTCCCAGGCAGCCAGGTCAACTATTAGAATTGGCCCCCATACCAACCCCTTCTGAACCCTCCTCCCCACCGGAATATCAACAAGTTCTCGCCAGAGTTACAATTTCATTTAGGGAAAGAATGGAACCAGTGTTAAACAAGTGAACAGTGCTTAAGTCAGTGAGGATCAACTCAGCAGTAACAGTCAGCAGTGAGGTCCCAGGTCCCAGTGATAACGGCCCGTGATAACCAGCGATGTGTTAATTCGTCTACGATAGGAAGGCCTGGGACCAAACTTCACTCATATAACACCATCTGTGAGGGAATTACTACACCACATGTCCCTCATAACACCATCTGTGAGGGAATTACTACACCACGTCAAGTCCCTCATCACACCATCTGTGAGGGAATTACCACACCACGTCAGGTCCCTAATAACACCATCTGTGAGGGAATTACTACACCACGTGAGGACCCTCATAACACCATCTGTGAGGTAATTACACCACGTGAGGTCCCCCATAACACCATCTGAGGGAACTACTACACCACGTGAATTCCTCCTAACACCATCAGGGAGGGAGTTACTACACTACGAGTTTGCTGTTCAACACCTACATTAATCTGTATGTTCACTGTATGTTCCTTTACCTTTCTCTAATGAAGGCTTTTGTTAAACCACCAATGTATGTAATAAGTCATTTATGTCCAATGTATATTTTCAGCCTTCGGGCTGCAGAATTTTTTCAATAAACCGTTAATTATTATTATTATTATTATTACACACACACACACACACACACTCACACACACACACACACACACACACACACACACACACACACACACACACACACACACACACACACTACTTCACCGGCTAGAGGGAGACGACAATGAACACGTAGGCTCGCGTAACATTTTTTTAAACATGGATTATGACAGGACACGAATTCCACTCACCAGCAACCTGTCTTCGCTACACGACTCTCAGCTATATACAGTATGTATGTATGTATGTATGTATGTAAGGTTTTAAGATGAGTAATATTCAAACACTGTTGCTTAACCAAAATATGAAATAATCTCTTCAAGGTCAGCAGGTTAATCATTGCTCGACACAAAAAAATATCTTTAACCAATGTAAACCACAGAAGCACCGTGAGAATACATATTTGGGGGAGATTCAAGAGGTAAAATTAATAGTGTAATAACAAGCCCCCTTTGTTATGTACAGTATATAAACAAAAAGAGGATCACCTGAAGAGTAGACACCCCAGTTTGTTTCACCCGATGATTATACGATGACTAGTTGGCAGTCACGCCTTCACTGCCAACTAGCCATCAGTAGCTATCAGCAGTGTGTGCAATAATAATAATAATAATAATAATAATAATAATAATAATAATAATAATAATAATAATGATAATAATAATAATTAACGGTTTATTAGGATAACATGGCAGCCAAAAGGCAGAAAATATACTATGAACAGAGATGATAAGTTACACTTTAAAAAAAAAAATCCCATGCACAAAGCGGCACGACAGCTGTGAAAACTTGTCTGTGTATATATCTGTCTGTATACTAGTAATCCCTCCTTCATCCTCAGCAAGACATGGGTGAACGCGTGTCTGCTCTCTGTCGTATGCGTGAATATGCATGTATCTTCGCCTCCACACGAGGTAAGTCACAGGGGGTGAATATTTCAAGTGTGTGTCGCCCACAAGGTATCGATTCCCGGATCCCACCAGCGTGCGAAGAGCAACAATCAGCTTACCTTATGACGCTCAAGTGGCACTTATCTCCCCGCTGGTTAAGTCGTTCTTCACCCCCGTGTGTGTGTGTGTGTGTGTATGTGTGTGTATGTGTGTGTGTGTGTCGCCTCCCACATATATCTATCAATATAATGACTTAGCCCCATGAGCTCAATACAAAACCACACAGAGTAAGATGTTTTAACCCCTGGAGTATGATGAATTGAAACCTGAGTACGGTATCATCATACTCAAAGCGTAAATGCAAGTAGACTTAATGACAATATAGATTATTACACATTAAAATAATTAAACAAACACAAACAAACAAACAAACAAACAAACAAACAAACAAACAAACAAACAAACAAACAAACAAACAAACAAACAAACAAACAAACACACACACACACACACACACACACACACACACACACACACACACACACGTGCACGCGCTTAGACGCCAAAATACACCTCGGCCCAAATTCAGAACGCTGGTTTGAAACCGCATGAAGGTTTAAACAGGGTTTGGGAACGGATTTTTCGATCCTCGCGTTAATCCAGCCTGGAGGCAGGTTTAGCGGTCGATCGGTCATTCAATTTTGACAGAGCGCGGTTTTCGGCAATATCATCAAATTGGAAATTTTGTAGAGAGAAGACTGATGGTAGATAGGCAGAATTCTATCAGTTTTTATGATGACACAATTCAGACAACGATATAGGTTCAGCAAGGGAGATTTCGGTAATATTTTCCGTGATATGGAGCATCTACTTGACAGACCTGTTGGCTCTGGTGCACCTTTACCTCCCATTCATCAGCTGATGATTGCTTTGATATTCTTCGCAACGAAAAGTTTCTGCAGGTTAAAATAATTCTGGTTATTGAATGAGTTATGATAATGTATTAAATACTTTCGTGTTTGTGGTCCATGAAGATCAAGCAGGTAAAAGTAAAGAACGCTGATGCATCTTTATTTTGGGTGTTTTTCTTCAGGAAAACTATTTTGATGTATTTTCAATATAACTAAAAAAAATGTTAAGTGCATTTTGATTTTAATGTATTAATGAAGGAAAGACTTTTCCGTTACTATATCAGGGGAAATGTGGGGTTAAAAGAACAGAAAAAACCCCTAACCTAACCTAGCCAGGTTAATACGCCCTGCATTGGTTCATCGTGCTTTGGTTATGAATACTGACACCTGTCCAGGATTATATCTACAATTTGTATGTAATTGTTCTTCCTCTATGAATTTCTTTGTTATTATATAACAACACAGCTACGTTGTAACAAAGTACCGTAAATCATTATAAGTTGATTGTAATTATAGTAACAAAAGTAACTTAGGATGTGCAAGGAGATATTTCTTCTCCGTAAAAACTCGTCGAGTCATAGTTGCCGCCATAATCTTGTAAACATTGCTCTCAGTGGTGATTGGCTGTCGTAATGGTGTAAATGAAAGGCGGTTGGCTGGAATTTCAGTGTTCGAAGCCTTGCTCGTAATTGAAGAAAATGCAACAGATTATCCGATCTGGGGTTCAAGCCGATGTTCTGAATATGGGTAATCCACTGCAGGAAATCTCGGATCGACGAATCCCGACTCACACGCCTGAGCCGAGCTCAAATCCCAGGTTCAAACCGCCATTCTGAATTCGAGCCTTAACCATCACTCCACACGTTTTAGAGGTCGGTTAGGTTGAGTTAGGTTATGTTAGGTTAGATTATGTTACGTTAGGTTACATTTGATTCGGTTAGGTGAAGTTAGGTTATTTCAGACTCGCCCTATGTCCTAATCCATTTCTTGTTGCATTGAAACGTCTTCATGTAAATTTTCCCACTTCACGTTCGTACCTCAACAGAAACCTCGGTGAAGAAACACCACTGACACTATTACATAAATAAATCAGACAACCCTTCAAAATAACATTATAGCAGAAGTAAAGAAAATGTGACCAAATAAGAAATAGGCCCTTGGTGCTTCACAACAACCTTCACAAACTTGTACTTACATCTGAGACGACCGAAGTGGAGTGCTTCTCGAGGTCATAGTGCCATCCTCGATCACATGGCACTACCCTGGCCCCCTCAGGAGGTCTCACGACCTGTTCTCCTCCCCCATCCAGGCTCTCCAGGTGAACTGTGAAGTTGTAGTCGTACCTCTGGCAGCGGCTGAACTGCTGGGAGGTGTTGTCGTACGGGATGCTGCCAGGGTATTAAGGAGAAGGAGTAATAGTAATAGTAATAGTAATAATAATAATAATATTAATTATTAATAATATTAATTATTATTATTATTATTATTATTATTATTATTATTATTATTATTATTATTATTACTACTATTATTACTATTATTATTATTATTACTACTATTATTACTATTATTATTACTATTACTACTATTATTATTATTACTACTATTATTACTATTATTATTATTATTATTATTATTATTATTATTATTATTATTATTATTATTACTACTATTATTATTATTATTAATAATAACAGAGTGAAGACGGTTGGTAAGCAGAGGTCCTCCTGCTTTATACACCTCAACTGGGATTCCATCAGACCCTGAGGCTTTGTTATTTTACTTCTGTTTGATGGCAGTAACTACCTCATCCAGGGACGGAGGATAGCTGAGATGGGTCAGCTCTGGATACTGAGGGACCTGCTGGGTAGTCAGGACATCCACATCAGTGCTTCGGTTGAGCAGAGAATGGTAGTGCTCTTTCCAACGCTGAAGGGGGCCTTCTTCATCTTTAATTAGGGAGTTACAGTCTGATGAGCGGGAGGGGGCTGGGCAATGAGTGACTGGCCCATAAAATGTTTTAGTGGAATGAAAAATTCCCTCATCTTGTGTTTAGCTGCAAAGTTCACGCTGGGCCACCGCTATCTTCTTGAGCTTTGGTCGAGACTGAGGGTTGTTCTGCCAGTCAGTTAATGCAGCATCGTTATCTTCGATGAGTGCATTGATTTCCGGGTCATTTTCATCAAACCAGTTCTGGTGTATTCTTTCGATCTGGCCGAGGGTCTCTGTGGGTTTTTGTCATGACAGTGTCGAAAATACCCCATTTGGCACTAGGATTTGGGTTGTTTGTTGTTGGGTTGTTTATCAGCCCATGTTCGAGCTGCTCTCTGAAAGTATTGTACTGCGCACATCATTGTCATCCCTAAAAACTCTTTAATTCATATTACGCTACCTTACATTCAAATCCACCTTGCTTGTAGAATATCAGAAAACGGGAAACGTTGATAAAGGATAACTCACCTACTGAATGTTTATGAATTATTTGATGAATTATACCCAGGTACGGGTATATAATATTAAGTGTATGTACTCATAGCATTAAGGAGAACTCAAGGTATCTATAAGATGGTTGGGAGAGTCCAATCGATACGAACTAGTGTACTATTAGGGCTAAGTGTAGATCGTGTATGAAGGTCATTCTACTGACGACTGTGAACCATTAGTGAAATGGCTACCGCAGGTAGCAGATGGAACTGTAAAAGAACATTCATTTGGAAAAAGGATAAATGTATCAGACCTACGTGAAGTGTTGGAAGTGATCCAGAAACTATACTTCAAAGGAAATATCTTGTATGCATCGGTGTGAACTTAATACACCTCGTTATCTCGTGTGATGTATACCCACGACATGTACAGTGATCAGTGTATCTTATGTCTGTGTTCAACGAGTGCAATGTGTGAGGGGAGGATCCCTAATTACAGTTTTAAGTGAAGTGTATATACCCACGCTATGAACATTCGATGCGCGGCTTTTGTTCAGAGTTAGCATCACTTGTGCCCGGACTACAGTTTTGAGTTGATGATATTGCCCAATTAATTTACCCAGGAACTGTCAAACCACATCCTGAATTTAGTATGTAATTTAGGATTAAGATATGTATTTATAAGGCATAAGGTCACAATAAATAGGAAAGTGTTCATGTGAGAACCATACGAAATCAAAGTGAAAATTAAAGATTGGAAACTGTAGGCCTAAATCAGTGAGAGGAACGGGACATCGCCCTTAGTGATGCCCCGACTTCTCACCAAAAGAGGTCAGTGAACCTCATCGTGCTATATTCAGCCCTAAAAAAAAGACTTATCTAGCAGTTTTTACATCTCAAAACCTTGCCTGATGTTATTAAGTGAAGTCATAGTGTACTAGTGTGGGGTGATGAAAGCCCCTCAGGCATTATTCTTAGTGATGCCCCAACTTCTCACCAAACAGGTACCAAGCGTTCTGAGCGTCTTCAGAACATCGGCCATTACTCCCGTGATGGCTGCACCATGTGAGGTGTACACCGTTATGCTCTTCCACTGTGAACCTGTGGATTCCCGGCATATCACCACCCAGGAAGAGGAGCACATAATAGTATGTTTGAGATGATTCGCGGTCGTTACTTGGAGCGACCTAGAATACCAGGAGTAGAAACAGTACTGGTATAGTTACTTGGGAAGTACCCCTCTCTACCCACCAAGAGCTGTGTGCAAACGAGGTGCCTGATATGTGAACCTAGAAATAGTGAGGAGTTCCATACCTGTAGATGTGGAGTGTAACCGGGGTGTGGTGAGGTGGTGCTGTAATGTGGTGATGTGGTGCTGTAATGTGGTGATGTGGTGCCGTAATGTGGTGAAGTGGTGCTGTAATGTGGTGCTGTAATGTGGTGATGTGGTGCTGTAATGTGGTGATGTGGTGCCGTAATGTGGTGAGGTGGTGCTGTAATGTGGTGCTGTAATGTGGTGCCGTAATGTGGTGATATGGTGCTGTAATGTGGTGATCTGGTGCTGTAATGTGGTGATATGGTGCTGTAATGTGGTGATGTGGTGCTGTAATGTGGTGATGTGGTGCCGTAATGTGGTGATGTGGTGCTGTAATGTGGTGATGTGGTGCTGTAATGTGGTGATGTGGTGCTGTAATGTGGTGATGTGATGCCGTAATGTGGTGAGGTGGTGCTGTAATGTGGTCATGTGGTGCTGTAATGTGGTGATATGGTGCTGTAATGTGGTGATGTGGTGCCGTGATGTGGTGCTGTAATGTGGTGATGTGGTGTGGTGATGTGGTGCTGTAATGTGGTGATATGGTGCTGTAATGTGGTGATATGGTGCTGTAATGTGGTGATATGGTGCTGTAATGTGGTGATGTGGTGCTATTCTGTAACCCAGGGTGCTATATTCTAACAGGTGGAGCAGTCTGTTGTGTTGGGCGTCAGTGTAAGAAGGAATGACCGAGATAAGGAGGTCAGTGATTGTTAAGTATGGGTGTAAGACGTGTGTTGTTGGGCAGTATAACGTAAGTCATAGTTGTTCTTCTGAGGAAGGCCAACTATTCTTGTATATTGCCGGGATGCAATATGTTTTAAAGAATAAATTAGTTAAGACATGCTTGTTGTTTCACCCTTCTTCCCACTACCGATTTGGTCAATGAAAAACCCAACCCAATGCCTAGCTTGCTCTGCCCGCGACCTAACGAGCTATATGCTGTCCAGAGGGGGTCTGGTGGCAGCGACCTTAAAATTAAGAATAAAGTTAAGTTATCCCTTAGAATTAGTGAACCCAGAATCTGGCAGTATAGTATGTGCTACCGCTGGATCCTCCGGACGCTTTGTGTTAAGACTTCTGGAGGCTTGTTGGCTTCACCGTTTTGGGGTGACGTGAAGCGAAAGCGTGGCCTGAAGTGAAACCTTGGCCCTGACGAGCCAATGATCAGTATTGCATTGGCCTGAGCTACACATGGCTCGGGTCAGGGAATGAGGACCTCTCGCGATCTCTTTCTCTGAAAATGATGTGGTCAATGAGATTCCAGTGTTTGGATCGTGAGTGTTGCCATGAACCCTTCAACTTGTTGGCCTGCCTAAAGAAGGTACTGGTGACAGTGAGGTTGTGTGCAGCACACTCGCTGAGGAGTAGGCCGTTGGGATTACACTTGCCTTGTCCATTTCTCCCTATGATTCCCTGCCAAATGTCAGCATCTCTGCCAACTCTAGCATTGAAGTCACCAAGGAGCACAACCTTATCTTCTCTGGGGATAGAGGTTAGCATTCTGTCAAGGTCTGGATGAAAGGCCTCTTTGACGTCATCCTCTACATCCAGTGTTGGGGCATACTGTATACACTGATGAAAATGGATTGAAGCGAGTGATTCAGTGGGACTCCGAGCGTCATGAGGTGCTCATTGATCCCAACAGGCATTTCAGTTAGTCTGTGCAGGATGCATTGGCGGATGGCAAAGTCAACTCCATGAATGCCGTTTCTCTCCGTAGCAGGCTTACCCTTCCAGAAGAAGGTATAGCAAGACCCCAGTTCTGTGAGTCGACCCTTGTCTGGGAGCCGGGACACACTAATGGCTGCTATGTCGATTTTATACCTAAACAGCTCTTTTCCCACGAGGGCGGTTCTTTTTTCAGGACGCTCACTTGTGCCAGTATCCAAAAGGGTCCTGACATTCCGTGCAGTGACCATAAGAGGCTGTATAGTTTGTTTTTGTTTTGATCTGGGATTATAATTGTTTTCGACCGCATTAGGATGACCTTACTGGGTGCGATTGCCCAGTCAGGGTGGTTCTTTAGGCAGACAATTTTTAGGGCACCTTTTCTTGCCCCCTCCTCATGTGGGTTGAGCAGAGTGGCTCCTCGAAAGGGCTGCTCAGTCGCACAGACAGGACCGGATTGCCATGGTGCCTTGATCTCAGTGCGTAAGCGATCATCTTACCTGTGCCGCCCATGTGCAGAGTTGTGACTAGAGACTCCCGGCAGTCATCTCTGTCTGTCCCCATCGCCACTCGTCCGTCGCCATAGGAATTTTGGGGCATAAGAGTTTGATGATGATGAGGAGTATGATGAGGTGGATGATGGCTGTGCACGACTTGATTTATGTGGTGAGGCAGGAGCGCAGACTGCAACCACACATCTTGACTCTCCCTTTTCCTGATCCAGTGGTGCAAGTGTTGCAACGACTGGGGAGAGGGAGAGCTACAATGGACTACCGATAGCCCAGTTTGTTGGGTTTCGCCTAAGTAGCCTGTCCATCATGCATTGCGTTCGTTTGCCAGTGTAGTTGTTGGATTTCCATGGTGGTCATCTTTTCTGCTTATACCGCCGTTGGGGTCTTGTTGGAGCTCTGATGTCGGGCTCCACTGCAGATATTTCGTTTGGGGTTTACACCCATAGCCTTATACCTACCAAGTTTAATCCGCAAGGCAGCGGGGCAGTGGTTGGTAGGCGCCAGTGGGCCTATGTGCCATCCCTCTGGGGCCCACTGCTACTCCGAAATCCCCTGTTGGTCTAGCCTGGGCCCACGAGGCACCCGGTTACCGTGTGTTGCCACGAGGAGACACAGCAGGAGTCTTGATGTTGAAGAGACTGTGTACTGGCAGGGGAAAACTTATGCAGCGGCTTCTCTGTTCGCCAGGAGGGCTAGCCAGCGGCGGTAGATGAAAGCGAGAGGAAGCAAGCAGTGCCTGCACCTTAACACTAACATAATGCTGCCACACTAGACGCATTACACCACCCTGTACACACACACACACACACGTTTCCCAATCGTTAGGTTATTGTAGAGTAGCTGCTTTGGCAGTCTACTGTTGTCCCTGCGGGTAACATGGCCAGTCCAACGTAATTGTACATGAATAATGGTTGCCTCGATGCTCCTACATTTAGTGTCAGCAAGAAAACTGGCATTTATTCTCTCGTCTTCCCAGCGAACTCAGAGGAAAAGAAAGAAAGAAAGAACAGTCCTCATAACTTGATGATGGAAGAATATCCCTCAGGTAGTTTTATGACTTGAGTTACATGAACCAAAAATGACATCAAAGTTACGCTCAGGACTCTACGCCTTAAGTACAGATTGGTTGGGTTAGGTTGGGTTAGGTTAGAGGTACACTACGAGTATGTTAGGAGTAGCTTAGGTTAGATTAGGGGGAAATTTGGTTAAGTTCAGCTACTTTAATTAATAATAGATTCAAGTTAGTTTAACTTAGGTTAAGTTAGTGTAGCTTAAGTTAAATAGGTTACGCTGGTTGAATTAACATTAGGTCAAATTAGTTAAGTTATGGTAGGTTAGGTTAAACAGGGTAAGCTGGAATATTTTTTTTCGCCACTTATCAGCCGTGTGGGCTGTTGGTTAATCCAGTCTTAGGTCAAGTTAGTCTAAGTTAAATTAGGTTAGGTTAGGTTAGGTTAGGTTCCGAGTCCGGTATTACTTAATCTCAAACAACAACAACAGCTTCTCACACCCACCTAAGGTTTTTGAGAACCTCCAGGGAGAGGTTGGTGTGGTCGAGGCCTGGCACGAGGCACCAGTGGTCGGGGGTGGAGGCCATGAAGAGCTGGTTGTAGGCGTGGAAGCCGCAGGGCATCGTCCCCGGCAGCAGCAGGAACCACAGGATTAGCTTCTGGTAGGTGCCGTACTCCCCCAGGTCAGGCAGGATCTCGTCGAAGTCCATTGTGGAGAAGAGGAGTTAGGGAGGAGGAAGAGGGTTTGTTGGTTGTGGTGGTGGTAGTGGTGGCTAGGTTGAGGTAGAAAGGTTGATAGTTTGTGGTAATGGTAAAAAGGTGGTGGTGGTGTGTTGAGGTTAAGGGGAGGGGAGAGAGTTATGGAGAGGTTAATGGGACTCTATAAAAGTTAATGGAATAGAGGAAAGATCATTAAACTGGCGCCATGCAAACATTAACCGCTCTGTGAAGAAGTTAATGCCACTGGGTAAAGCTCACTAGGAATGTGGGAGGTTAATGTGACTGTATGGAAATTAATAGAGATCTTGTTAGTTAAATGGTTGATGACACGTTCTCGAGGGTCAAGTGTAAGTCAGGAGTAAGAACAATGGTCAAGGTTACAAGAGAGGGTCCTGGGTTTGTAAACTATTAGAGAGATTGTGGTCTTTGTGGTCTTCTTGGGGTGGATTGTGGTCTTTTGGGGGGTCTGTGGTCTTGTTGGGGGGGGTCTGTGGTCTTCTTGGGATGGATTGTGGTCTTCTTGGGAAGTTTGTGGTCCCTTAAGTTCGTGACGTATGGGACTGGGACCGCTTTGCACTTCTGGGAGTCTGTGATGTCTGCTAAGAGGACCTGTGTATTGTTTGCAACGGATATCTGCTTTATTGTTTACAAAGTAGACCTCTTATTGTTTGCAAAGAAGCTATTTCTAGTTTTTGCATAGAGGACATTTTTGCTGTTTGCATTGAGGACCGGTTTTGTTTATGATCTCTTCTTCCCCTTTGGTGTTCAATCCTTCGGTAAAATAACTCTCTTAGCGTGAGATGGTTCAGCGTCCTCTAGTTGTGGTCTACAGCAACAAATCCTCTTACTCCTAACTAGTATACTCTAGGCTGGCGGGCTCCTCGCTGGTGTTATCTGGAAGCTCTGTTTATTTACATCGACGCCCTGTAAATAAAATAAAATTTATTCTTAGTCATTGTTCACTAAATAAAAGTAATCCATTTTTTTTATTTCGTTTTTATTAATGGTACAATTGGTTATTAGGACAGGAAAGGCATTTAGGGGGAGGAAGGGGTGAATGCCGCCAACCTTTTATGCTCAATCCACCAAAACCAGCACCTCACCCCCCCCCAACTCACCCTCAAAAACCCACACTCCCTCTACAACTACCACCACCCCCCAAGACACACACACCCACACACCATCACCCCATCCACACCACCACCCACACCATCACCCATCCCACCCACACCATCTTCCATTCTATCTCCCACGCCATCACCAAATCCCACCACCCACACCATCACCAAATCCCACCACCCACACCATCACCCATATCACCCACACCTTTAACCATCTCACATATCCACACCCCATCACCCACACCTCCACCCACACCCACCTATCGCCCCGCACCCACAGTACCAAGTTTCCCCCTCGACCTTCAAACTTTCACACGGCAACATTTCCTTATCTCCCCTTAACTTGTCTTTATCACCTCCTAGTTACTTACCCAAACAGTCAAAGTTTTCCTTTCGTTATAAGACTTTGATTATAACTTTAGCTTTTTTTATTATATAAATTTTGACATATTACTATTTTGTTTCTGATAAAAATGGAAATTTTATTAAATTCTTGCATTTTCTTCCAATAAAAGTAGATTGTATTTGCTTATAATAACATTTTAATTGCGTCATTATCTCCTTTTCGATCTTGTTATAAAAGTAGATTAAATTATTTTCTTATAATAATAAAAAAGTTTCATTTCATTATCACTTTTTCTATTGTAATAAATGTCGAACTAGATTATTGTTTTATATTAACTTAATTACATTATAATATTTTATATAATTACTGTACACTGTTTTCCTTGTTTTTATTCTAATAAAATATATATAATTTCATAATCTTTGCAAAGCCACGAACAGAAAAAATGAAATAAATCTAAAAAATAATAAAAACTAAATAATTAATAAGTCAACAAATTAACAAAAATTTATTAAAGATGAAAAATTATGAAAAAATATAATATATAGATAAATAATTAATACAAGCAAATGATAAATAAGTAAAAAATTGAACAATTATAATTAATCAACAACTAATTAAACGAACAAAATTAAATATGACACAAAACATGAACAAAAAACATCAATAAACAAAACCAAAAACATTTCAAACAAACAATATCAACAAACACATTACACACAAACAAACCGTATTCACAAACAAACAAAAAACATCCACAAAGAAATACATAAAAAAACAAAGAAAAACATAAAACCAAAAAGCTCTTTCCACACTGAGAGAAAATAAAGCTCAGCGAAATAATAAAAAATAGCAGGAAAAATTGGGAAAAGGAAAATTGGCAATAGAGAAAGACACGAGTCGCACCTCTGCTTTAATAATTCTGAATCTGAAATGAGAAACCACCTTTAACCCCTCCTCAATAATGTAAACACTCGCTTCTCTGTTCCTGTGACTATGTTTTCCCTTTCCCTCGTCTTTTACTTTCTTAACTGTCTTTATTTTCTCTCTCTTTCTCTTGTCTTTTTTTGTCTTCATCGTCTTTAATTTTCATCTTTATTATCCATATCTTTGAGTTCTTGTCTTTGTCTTCATCGTCTTTAATTTTCATCTTTATTATCCATATCTTTGAGTTCTTGTCCTTTTCCTTTTGGATGACTTGTGTTCGTTCCAATAATTTTCCCGGTGTTAATGTTATGTTGCTTCTGTCGTTCGTTGTAATTAATTCAAACTCGTGAAGGCTATTTCTATCTCATAACATTCCTCTCTCTCTCTCTCTCTCTCTCTCTCTCTCTCTCTCTCTCTCTCTCCTGCTTTTGCAAGAATAGGGTTTGGCTGTCTCGATATGTAAGGCACACGCCCCCACACACACACAGCTTGGCTAATACACACTTAAGTTTGGTTATTTCTTTCCTGAACCTGACTATTTCCTCAATGTTTGGCCATTTACCCACCATGTTTGGCTACTATCTCCCTAAATTTGGTTATTTTCTCCCTACATTTGGTTAATTCCTCCCCAAATTTGGCTATTTTCACAATAACGTAGGCTATTTCCTCCCAAGGTTAGGCTAACTCAATAAACCAGATATAACACCAACCAACAAATGTCGCCCTGGACGACCATAGTGGTAAAGCGACCAATTACATAGGATCATATATACGACAAAAGAGTAATATGAATCCATGATGCATAAAATTTAAGGAGATGAGCGTAATATTGCCGAGATGACCAACGTTTGTGGCCCAATATCAGCCAGGGGCGGGTAAGATGGTTCCTCAACGACTGTTTTGGTGATTTTAATATACTGAAATAATATCTAGATTAGCCTTCACCCCCAAGCTTTTTTCATCTGATGATTAAACACCCCACCGCTTCCTAAGGGGTTAGGTTAGGTTGGGTTGGGTTAGGTTAGGTTCGGTTAGGTTAGGTTAAAATTAGGTTAGGTTAGGTTAGGTTAAGTTCGGTTACCGTTAGGTTAGGTTCGGTTAGGGTTGGGTCAGGTTATATTAGGTTATACGAGAGAGAGAGAGAGAGAGACGCAGACAGCGTCACATATTTTTGGTACAAACTCATTAAACTACTGTATAATGTGTCCACTTTACATGCCTCCTGAGTTGGTCTTCCCCAGCCACATCTTTAATTAACAAATACTGACACTAACAAAAGACAATAACTATACATTTAAATAGATAAAAACCATCATCAGTGGATCTTCTACTTGCAATTAAGTATCGTAGATCACATTTGATCTTCAGCGCAAAAATCACAACAAAAATATTGTACTGTTGATGTTTGTTTACATTGGTCGTTACCTCGGCCTCATCGCATTACAAGACGCAATGCGATTGACTGTACTATAAAGTGCATCCTGATTGGTGAAAGCGAGAGACCTAATATTGTGTACTTCGACGTCGATAATGGGAATACTAATTACTAATTCACCAAACGTCACCACACTTGGTTGCCTTCGTTAATGAATGGGATCGAGCAAGTCAATGATATCGGCTGACACGAAATGATTGCCAATTGAAGGTATTCCATTGTCTCTTCAATCAACGCAAAGAGAATTAATTAACTACCATGTCAACAAAGAAGACGCGAGATGTTTACCATAATTTAGGAAACAAACGGCACAGCTTAACGCGACGGAGACGATGCCAAGTGCGGGAGGCCGTAATACTACGCTAGGCTTCATTATTTTTAGCCCTTATGGGAGGAACAGTTTATCATTTACCTAATACTACCTCATACTAACACACACCTACCTAATACTACCTCATACTAACACACACCTACCAAATACTACCTCAAACTAACACACACCTACCAAATACTACCTCATACTAACACACACCTACCAAATACTACCTCATACTAACACACACCTACCAAATACTACCTCATACTAACACAAACCGACCTAATACTACCCCATACTAACACACACCTACCAAATACTACCTCATACTAACACAAACCGACCTAACACTACCTCATACTAACACACACGTTCCTAATACTACCTCATACTAACACACACCTACCTAATACTACCTCATACTAACACACACCTACCAAATACTACCTCATACTAACACAAACCGACCTAACACTACCTCATACTAACACACACCTACCTAATACCTCCTAACACACACCTACCTAACACTACCTCATACTAACACAAACCGACCTAACACTACCTCATACTAACACAAACGACCTAATACTACCTCATACTAACACAAACCGACCTTCTATACTACCTCATACTAACACAAACCGACCTAACACTACCTCATACTAACACAAACCGACCTAATACTACCTCATACTAACACACACCTACCTAATACTACCTCATACTACACACACCTACCTAATACTACATACTAACACAAACCTACCTAACACTACCTCATACTAACACAAACCGACCTATACCCTCATACTAACACACACCTACCTAACACTACCTCATACTAACACAAACCGACCTAATACTACCTCATACTAACACACACCTACCTAACACTACCTCATACTAACACAAACCGACCTAATACTACCTCATACTAACACACACCTACCTAACACTACCTCATACTAACACACACCTTCCTAATACTGCCCCATACTAACACACACCTACCTAACACTACCTCATACTAACACAAACCGACCTAACACTACCTCATACTAACACAAACCGACCTAATACTACCTCATACTAACACAAACCGACCTAATACTACCTCATACTAACACAAACCGACCTAATACTACCTCATACTAACACAAACCGACCTAATACTACCTCATACTAACACAAACCGACCTAATACTACCTCATACTAACACAAACCGACCTAACACTACCTCATACTAACACAAACCGACCTAATACTACCTCATACTAACACACACCTACCTATTACTGCCCCAGCTCGATGAACAGGCTTTGTGTGAAATATAACAGAGTCTAGAACTGCTTTTAGTGTCCTTGTGGCCTAGCCGGTAAGCGTTCCCTAGTCCCACCCAGTAGGTCGAGGGTTCGATTCCTTGCTGGTGAGGTCGTTGATTATATGTTCAAAGTCCGCGTGTTATATGGACTAAAAATTAAGTATATATATGTACCTCGCGTTTCATACCAGCTAGATTCGGTAAAATGCTACTGACACCACATAAGAGGCACGGGCAGTTTCCCAATGAGGTTCACGGCGCCATCAGCTCGATGAACAGGCTTTGTGTGAAATATAACAGAGTCTAGAACTGCTTTTAGTGTCCTTGTGGCCTAGCCGGTAAGCGTTCCCTAGTCACACCCAGTAGGTCGAGGGTTCGATTCCTTGCTGGTGAGGTCGTTGATTATATGTTCAAAGTCCGCGTGTTATATGGACTAAAAATGAAGTATATATAT